GACTATGTTGTATAACTATGCCAAATTTCATTGAGATCCATGCAGCTGTTCCGGAGATATCTTGCACCATCCATCAATCTAATCATACGCATTTATAATATTAGTAAGATTATGTCTTTAATAATATCGTGATTTTGTTTCAAGTCTAATATATCGTATTAATATTTTCTGTGCCTCTAGTCTTTTTAAATTCATAAAGGAAAACTTCAAACGGACAGCGAAAAGCCCGGCTTTTTTTGGTAACTAATGAAATTACTTTTTCATGAAACATAACATAGACCAGTTTTCTCAGAAACTATGTTAAATGGAATATCAAAGTTTTTACTCTATGTAAATAATTAATTTTACATTATGCCGTCACCGAGGTCGGAGTCTACTTAAATTAAAAAATATGTTTTTACAATCTCAATGATCTCAACAGTGATAGAGTCCGCATTAACATCTTCGCACAAATCGGCCCGGCTCGCCCGGTGAAATACCACGACCACACAGAAGACAGGCGTGTAGTGGAAGACATTCCGCCTTTCGTCTGATGAGTGTGCGTCCCGGAGGCCTTATATAGTCCTCTTTCCCTTCCCACCCTCTTTCTTATAAGGAAAGGATGGGAAGTGGAAGTGGACTTTCCGGATGAAAAGATGCATGGAAAGGGAAAATATTTTCTTTCTGTGCATCCTCTCCTCCGTCGATTAAAGGTAGGTAACGCATATGCAATTGCGTATGTCTATGGGCAACGGTCCCCTCGCTATTTCAGCGATTTCAGGTGGCCGCTCGCTCGTTTGCCACCTTCTGAAAAAAAAATGAGTACCTTAATGTACATTTAGTAAAAGAAATCTTCACTAAGTGACTGTTTTAATAGCCGTGGGAAGAAAAATGCAGTTCTAAAAATCAAATACGATTTTAAAATAGGTAGCAGTACTAGAAAATAAGGCAATACATCGCAGGAGGCATCACAATGAAGTAAGCCGGCAATCAGTGAGCCTGAACAGTTCTCTAGTGAATGCAAATCACTCCGTATTTACCCAATTATCCAGTAGTCCGCTCTTTAGTTACTACTTAGGGCCCGTTCACATGGGACCCATAAATAGCAAATAAACAATTAAAAAAATTACAATTAGTTTCGTGACTTGCGTATAATAAACCTCCTCGAAATCGGCTAACAGAGGTCGAATACGTATTAAAAGAAATACACGTGAAAACTATTATCATGCATATCAAATATTGTCGGATAAATACGATATCTTATATATAATATAAAAATTCTCGTGTCACAATTTTCGTTCCCATACTCCTTCGAAACTCATGAAATTTTGTGAGCATATTGAGTAGGTCTTAGAATCGGCGAACATCTATTTTTAATCCCGCGCGGACGGAGTCGCGGGCGACAGCTAGTATGAATATAGAATTGTACTTTGGACAATAAAACTTTAAAAAAGTATGAACTAAGTACAAACATATTATATTTCTTTCATTTAACGATTCACTTTCATTGTTATTTCATTAATATTAACCTAATTTTAGCCGAATTCAAAAAGGAGGTTAGCAATTTTTTTGATCATAACGTCCTTTTATTTTAAAATAGCAATCGCACAGTTTGTTACAACCCTAAATCGTAGCGATAGTAAAATACTGATTATTTGGCAGTAGGATTAGCCTCCCTTGATATTTCACAATCAATGCTACGACTACCTAATTAGACGTAATTATGTTTTTAACTATACATAAATATTTTACCTCATCTAATATTAAATAGGCTATAATAAATAACAAGATTAAATAAATAGCTATTTATACTAATATTATAAAGAGGAAGAGTTTGTTTGTTTAAATGCGCTACGATACTATCTCACGAAGTACTGGTCCGATTAAAAAAAATCTTTTTTTGATGGATAGTCCATTTATAGAGGAAGGCTTTAGGCTATATAACATTACGCTACGACCAATAGTTTTTTTTAATGACGCGCGGACGGTCGATTTAAATCCTGCACTAATAGACCTAGCTTATTTATTCTTGTTTTTGAGGTCGTCGGTGTGGCAGTTGTAAAACGCTTGATAGTACCGGACTAAAATCTATAATATGTTCGATCCCCGCCATGTACCAAAGTTTTATTCGATTTTTTAAGTTCAATATACATTTATTTGAATTTCTTACAGTTAAGATAAACAACGCAATGCAATCTGCAAATATCTCTAAAGATATGTGTGAAGTCAACCCACACTGCACTAGCGAGGTTGACGATGACCTAGTCCCACCTAGGTAGGCTAAGAACCCTTAGTTGGGGACATACTCGTATAAGTTGATGATGACATTTTTTTTATTTTCTTCAAATATTTTTTTTGTAACGGTAGCAAATGTAAGCATATTATCGACCATTGTACAACTAAGTGGTCACTCTACGTGACCCCAATTCCTTGTTCATTGTACGATCTATCCTTTGTAATGGCTCTTTTTTTGCAACGAATCGAGACCATTCTGTAAGTTGATTTACGCTTGAATTGATATCAATTGCGCCTTTTAAGTTTGTATTGTGTTTTAAGTTAAATTTTCTACATTTCTTTTTTGTTTCAAGAAGTTTAATTCATGTTTGTTGATGTATAAAATACTAGTTGTCGCCCGCGATTCCGCTCGTGTGGAATTGAAAAAATAATAATTTATAGCATATATGTTCTTCTAGACAACGATCTACGTCTATGTTAAATTTCAACGAGATCCGTTCAGCTGGTCTGGTACCTTCAAACAAACATCTAAACATTCGCATTTATAATATTAGTAAAATAGTAAGATTAAAATAACCAATAATGTTTATTTTCCTTCGTAAAACTGTAACCTGCTTTGGTAACTTAAACAGACGGCTCTTTCTAGTCTTTACTGCGGCAGTGTATCTTGTGAAAACGGTAATAGTTGTGTAGTATTTTCGATGGAAGTAAGAAACTTGTGTTTAAAAGTCGCGGTCGCGTTGTGGAAAATGTATCATTAATCATAGAACTTAAATCATTTATTAAAAATAAACATAAATTTAAGTACAAGCACTATCTTTGTTTAACTTTAGTAGTAGTGTGATATTATAAAATTATATATTAAGAGAAATGACCAGGAATATAAAAAAACCGCTTCGTATTACGGAAAAGTCAACCAACCAACATGTACTGGACACACTGGACAGATCCAGCGTGGTTGACTATAGCCTGATCACCCTTAACTTAGGTCCAAGTAGGGTAACGTGGGGACGTATAGTGAGCTGATGATTGCGGAAAAAATGTACAAATCTATTTTAGGGTACTTATAGGAGGTAATCTTGCAATTGCCTTTGTTTTTAGACCCACTTATAAAACTGGGATTGATACTTGCTACGTTATCTTACTAATATTATAAATGCGAATGTTTGGATGGATGGATGTTTGAAGGTATCGCCAGAATGGCTGTATGGATCTTGCTGAAATTTGATATAGAAGTAAAATATAGTCGGGAAGAACACATAGGCTACTAATTAAATTTTCCATTCAGCGAACGGAGTCGCGGGTGCCAGCTAGTAATTGCTAAACCAGTTATTTTATAAAGTATCAAGATAAATAGGTTTTACTAGTATGTTTAGTTTTACAAAGATTTATTGCCGCACCCTGTTTGTTGCACGTATTACAGTATTTTTTAACTTCGGACCCTTGTCAAAGAGTTTTCTTGAAATATTGACTTTCTAAACAATTTACGAATATGTATTCGTTGTGTTTGCGTTTTAAAAGATCCTTAAGCTGTATCACTTTCTATGGATTACTAACTTAAATAGTTTAACAATTACTAAGGGAATTTACGTTATAAGTTAATTATTTGTTAACATATTATTTTTGTTATTAATTTAGAATTTTAGTAGTAGCTTTGAAATTTTTGCTCAATTTTAACACTAAAAATTAAACAAACCGTCAAACTGTAAACATTATGCTTGGTCACTTGCGGATCTCGCAAATTACTTGCGAGTTTAATCAGTTTGAACGGATCCGTCTCGTCCACCACGAGTTAGTATGAACGAGCCCTTAGATGTGAACACTCTTATACAACATCATATGTTTGAATTTCCACGATCTTCATTCGTAGATCTCGTAGACATCTTCGTAGACAGCGTAGACCTAGTCGTAGAAGCAAATGTAAATAGGTGAACGGGTAGGTAGGTAGAGTTTAATGTTATAAAAAAATGATTCGTAAAAGTATCAAAAACTGAGTCTGTTTAATAAAACAAGTAATTACACAGAGTAACGCTCTTTAATAAAAAGCTCTTTTTATCTTACAAGAGTGATTACTCTGAATTAGTCAGCGAAAATGTTTCTTTTGAACTCTCCGCTCAACAATTTAGTGAAGTACGTTTTATAAACTAAGATAAAAGAAAGATTGATTTCACCGCCGTTTCAATATTATTCGGTTAAATAGGTCGACCATAGTAAATGTTCTTAATTACTGTTAGAAGTACGGTTCTTTTTTTTTTATAAATATAGTGTACAGGAACCCAAAAAGCCCCGGGACCCTTGATAATAAATGATACAAAAAAGGTCGGGTGGATGAGTCATTTAATTAGCGTTAAGCGCAATCACAACAAAACAGTAAAATCAAACGCTAGCGTGCACTTAAATAGCGCAGCGCCATCTAGTTCTTTTAGAACGAAACTTATATTTTATCAATATTGTACTTTTTATTTGCTCGTGAACATACCGCCCACCATGGACAGAATGTCCATCACAATCAAATACTTGACTAATTCTTACAAATTGACAAAACCAACAACAGAAACTGTCCGCCCACCATGCCTGAATATACAATTAAACACAACAAAAATAGTAAATAAATTACAAAAAGAGAAACAACATGGTAATACAATTATATGGCGATATTGCACAATAAAACGCTAATCAATTAAACAAACGTAAACAACATAAACAACATATCTTATAACTATTTTACAATGATAGCACTTATGCTAGTGGACTGTATAATACAACTTTAAAAAATCTAATACTATTTAAGCAACAGGTAACACAACTAATTTTGACAATGGTCTTTTTATGACACTGCCCTTGCATCTTACGCTGACAACCCGCGTAAGGCCGTCCAAACCAGTATGCTTCTCAGTTATTACACCAAAAAGCCACTTTGCCGGCGGAAGGTCATCTTCGCGAACAAGTATGACATCGCCTATCTTGGGTGCCGCGACCTGATCCGTCCATTTGTAGCGATGCTGTAACTGAGTAAGATACTCCTGTGACCATTTGCGCCAAAAATCCTGAAGCATGCGCTGCGTGAGATGCCACCTCTTCAATGAGGAAATATTTGTGTCTTCATAATTTCTATCGGGAACAACGACTAGTGGTTCCCCCACCAAAAAATGACCAGGAGTCAGTGGATATGGATCATCCGGGTATGTCGGTAACTGAGAGATTGGCCTCGAATTTAAGCAGGCTTCAATTTGAGACAACAAAGTTGTCATCTCCTCGAACGTCAGTGTGCTATTGCCTACTATTCTACGGAGATGGTGCTTGGTGGACTTTACTCCTGCTTCCCACAGTCCTCCAAAATTCGGAGAATGCGGAGGAATGAAGTGCCACCCTGTACTGTTTGTAGCACACCACTCGGCAATTTCAGGTGCTATGGTAGACCTTTCTGCGTTGAATAATGCCTTCAGTTCCTTAGCGCTGCCAACGAAGGTGGTCCCGTTGTCATTCCAGATCTCTGCGACATGTCCTCGCCTGGCTACGAAGCGCTTAAATGCAGCTAAAAAGCTTTGAGCCGTCATGTCGCTGACGACTTCCAGATGGATTGCCTTCGTAGCCATGCAGACAAACAGGCAGATATAGCCCTTCGTGGAGTGATAACCACGACCTTTAGTAGGACGAATATTGATAGGGCCAGCATAGTCCACTCCACTTCGTAGGAAAGGACGGCTAGGCGTTACTCTCGCCTCTGGTAATTGGCCCATCATTTGCTGTCTACACTTTGCGGAATGACGAACACAAACTACACACTTCCGGACGCACTGCCGAATAAGACTTCGTGAATTGATTATCCAGTATTTGGATCTCAGAAAATTGTCCATCAATTGTGGGCCACCATGTGGCCAAAGTTTTCCGATGTGCATCGTCTATCAATAAACTTGTGAAGTGCGAGCGTTTAGGAATCAATATGGGATGCTTCGTGTTATTCTCCAGTGCAGCCTTCTGCAAACGACCACCGACTCTTAATAAGTGGTTGGAATCAAGAAAGGGATTCAACGAGGTAAGTCTACTCCTTTTGTTCACCTTGCCATGCTTCTTCAGACTCTCTATCTCTTCCTGGAAATGATGCCATTGACACAATTTTATGCAGGTATTCAAAGATTGTCCCAGCTCCTCTGCTTTCAGTGTACCCGATGATTTTGGAGACAAAAACCTTCTACAGTAAGCGACAACTCTGGTAAGTCGCGTTAACGATGAATACTTGGCAAGTATACTACTCTCTGCTATGGTGCTTGTAGTGGTGTGACATTTCAACTTTCTTTCTTCAATTGTAGTATCCGCAACCTCTCTTTTATAATCAATGTTCTTCTGTTTCAGGAACTCCGGGCCTTGCTTCCACATCTGGATGTTAGCGCATTCCGATGGTTTTACGCCTCTAGATGCGCAGTCGGCGGGATTCTGCTTCGTCGGTACGTGGGACCACTGACATCCATCCAAAACGGTAAGTACTTCCGACACTCTATTGGCTATGAAAGTTTTCCAACGACTAGGGTGACTTCTGAGCCAAGCCAATACTACTGAGGAGTCAGTCCAAGCATGGATCTGTTGCTTGGGTATTCCGAGAACTGTCGAAACTTCCTTTAAGAGCTTGGCGAGCAACACTGCTCCGCAAAGCTCGAGTCTCGGAATCGACACCTGCTTGACTGGCGCCACTTTGGTCTTAGATGTGATGAGGTTGACGCAGAGCATACACAACAGCAGCGTACGCGATATTGGATGCATCGGCGAAGCCGTGCAGCTCTACTAGAGAGTCATCACTGGAAGCATGAATCCAACGAGGGAGACGAAATTGGGTAAGTTGTTTCAACTCTTCTCTATAATTAAGCCAATCCTTCATCAGAGATGAAGGGAGTTCCTGATCCCAATCGATGCCCGACAGCCATAGTCTTTGTATGAAAACCTTTGCTGTTATTATGGCTGGAGCTATCCATCCGAGAGGGTCAAACAATTTTGCGATGTCCGAAATAACTCTGCGCTTTGTTACAGGAGTTTCCAAAGGAGGAAGATTCACGGTGTACTCGAATTCGTCGGAGCTTCTATTCCAGGTAAGTCCTAGAATTTTACTTACCGTGTCTGTTTTAAGTTCCAGGTGGTCTCCGGTTGCTTGTCTATGGTCTTCCTGTATATGATCCAATAATTCGGAATTATTGGTGGACCATCGCTGAAGCTCGAAGCCTCCACGACCAAGCAACTTCTTCATTTCGTGGTAGATCTTAATACCTTCTTCGACATTCTGGCATCCTGTCATCAAATCGTCGACGTAGAAGTCCTTCAACACACGGTTCGACGCAAGAGGAAAATCAGCTCCCTCATCGTGTGCAATCTGCTGTAAGGATTTCACCGCCAAGTATGGTGCCGATGATGTGCCGAAGGTAACACGGAGAAGACGGAAATGCTGCAACTCATCTTCTGGGTTTTCACGCCATAGGATTCGTTGAAAATCAACATCCGTCTTAGACACCTTGACTTGCCTGTACATCTTAATGATGTCTGCAACGAGGCATATTGGAAACTGGCGCCAATTCATCAGGATATGATGCAACTCAGGTTGAAGAGTTGGTCCGACCAACAGATCCTGATTCAACGACGCACCATTTGTTCCCGTACACGACGCATCGAAAACAACTCTCACTTTGGTGGTGATCTTGTCATTTCGCACTACTGCGTGATGTGGTAAATACACCGCATCCGTCCTTTCTTTATCCTCGACCTTCTCCATATGGCCGAGGTCCAAGTATTCATTGATAACCTTGACATACTCTTTCTTCATGTCAGGGTCTCGTAAAAACCGCTTTTCTAAAATAAGAAACCTTTTTTGGGCAATTTGTTTCGAGTGACCATATTTGCATTTCGGATCCGGTGTGCGAAAGGGTAAACTAACCACGTAACGACCAGATTCGTCTCTACGTGTCGTTTCCGCGAACAACCTTTCATACAACTGCTCTTCTTCCGTTAAATACGTTTTCTCTATATCGTATTGGCCGGACTCCAACTCCCAGAACTTCCGTAAGAGCTCACTCTCGTCCGAATGAGCTGAGTGCAAACTAACAACAACGTTATGACACGTTTCCAATTGGGCGCCTACTTCTTCAACTTCACCAGAAAGGATCCAGCCAAACTTAGTGTTCTGTGCAAGAGGGTAGCCCGGTGGACCCCTAATCAACCCTTGCAACAGAATTTGGCTGTAAACCTCGGCACCTAATAGAACATCTATTTTATTGGGTGTGCCAAACGAAGGGTCAGCTAAAACTTCACAAGATAGTGAAGGCAACATCGGGACGACTATCTTCCTATCAGGCAAGAGAGACGTCACCTTGTTCATAACATACGCCTTGATAGATATGACAAAACTGGGGTCGTGGCGGGACTGAATTTTCATGGAGACCATGAACCTACAGGACAAAGATGCTTGTGGGTCACCGCCTAGACCTGAGACAACAGTTTTGATGGGATGTCTCTTTAATCCCAATAACTGGACCGCGGACTCCGATATGAACGAAGCCTGAGACCCCTGGTCTAACAGGGATCTTAAACAAATCAAAGATCCAGTTCTCGACTCGACATTTATCAAGGCCGTGGCCAAGAGTACGTGGGTACTAGCCTTGGCGAAACACGTCATAGCACGTGTGGACTCACCCGCTGAAGATGACGCTGCTTCTGATGTAACAACATCGCTACCAATAGGCTGACCTGGACTACTATTATCAGATCTCGGGATACTTTTAGGATGAAGAAGGGTGTGATGTCTTCTGCGACAAAGATGACATTTTGTGGATTGCCGGCAGGTGTACACAGAATGACCTGTGTTCAAACAATTAAAGCACAGTCCACTGGTTTGGGCGAAACTACGCCGATTGTCTACGTCTTCTTGAGCAAATCTCTTACAATTAAATAATTTGTGTCCCTTGTCAGTACAAAATATACAACTGGCATTGTGAGG